AGCATGCCTATGGGAAATGCAATGGTTTCACATGCCTAATCCCTACAGAGCAGCTTCTCCAGCTAAAGTGGAGCCTGTAGATGGCCAAAACACACTTTACGTACCGTAGCCTGAAGTCTTTGGTGTAATATAGTTGAGCAAGAAGGGAGCCTGAAGTTGAGACAAACCAGGTAATCTGAAGCAAGTGGAAGCAGACTTCATTGCTGTTTTTTTTTTTTAATGAAACATTTATAAATGTGTTAAACGGCTCAATAATACATCATCATTTCATTCATCACTAAACAACATTGTCAAAACCCAAGGATGACCTCTTGATGTGTTTTCTTTGCAGATGCTTTCACAGCCTCATCCAATCTTTGCTGTTTCAAGGTCTCTTCTCACAATAAGTAAGTTCTCGTTCTATCCATGAGACCTACTAAGAGGTGATGGGGAAATTCATACAACTTTACTTTCATTTCTGGTTTTGTCATTCACCATGGCAAGATTTTAAACTGAACTATATATCACGTAGATTACCTTTTTTTTTTGTTGCCTTTGAAGTTTATCTTATTATATTGTCTGCCTAATAATACAAAATTTCTCCAAAGCAAACTGCTCATGTACTAAGACAATAAAGAATTTCCGTCCTGACCTTGATTGATCTTATCTGTACTGTACAGATAATTTCTGGATGTCACAGCTGGGTACCTCTTCCTTCATCCTGAGCCTGAATGGGTGAAGTGAGATGAGAATTATAAAGGTCACAGGAAACCATAATAAAACCTTTCATCATATCTCAGCAGAGCTCATATACTTCAGAGCAGTAATTTCCCTGCATCTCCTCCTGAAAACATGCAGAAACAATAAATGAACTTTTACTAACCATTTCTTGAATCCACAAATAGTTCCTTGGAGGATGTGACAAACATAAAAGGTAGAGGTTCAAAATAAACCCTCATCTCTTTTTCTGATCTTTGAAACACTTCCCCTCTCTTCAGGGTTTTGCAGGGCACCCCTGTAGTGCCATCAAAACAGACTCCAGATGAGCTCACATTTCTCTCAGCAGCAGTCTAATCATACAGAAACAGAAACCCTATTTGAATTAGAGCACATGTGATTTTTGTTGCACCTACCTGCTAGCTAAACAAATAACATTATGTAAACCTTCATGCTACACTTCATGTATGATAAATCCTTGGTGTGTCCTAATTTCTTAATATCAAAAATACAATTATTCTGTTAAATTTTGTATTTTATGTATGGTCAGACTACATGCCTGTAGTTTTATATTGTACACAAAGTTACTGAGAAAAAAAAGATTAAAGAATATTCATACTTTGCTATTAAAGGGTCATTTTACAGAAGTTGTTGATAGAAGCTGATTTTACAGGTATTTTTCACCAGACTGATGAGATACAGGGGCTCTTTGTTAAGGATGAGATATAGAGGCCGTACAATCTTGCAGGACCTATAGGTCCCCTCTTGTGTGAACATCTGAGCTCTGTTGCATCTGGAGGAACAGGAGTCTGGTGTCAGATGTGTTTGATCGTTCTTGCCATTTCCTGATCCAAACATATTGTAAAGCACTGTGGGGTGGATTGGCATAACAGCATCAGGATCCCAGCTTTGGACAGGCACAGGCCTGCCTTTGGAAGTGGTCTGCTAAGAAGCCTGAGTGCAAACCACAGCTTAGGAAAGCACAGATTTTGATGGGATGATGAGGGTGAAGCCCAGCACTTTGTAAAAGACTTGCATCTGACTGCACACTGCAGCCATGGGGGTTTACTTAATGAACAGCTGGACACTGAAGAAGCTTTCTAAATTTGGGGATTTCTTCAGTTAAGTTCAGTTAAGAACATGGGGTGCAGGGTTGCACAGAAGGCAATTTGTGGAATGTTGCTGGCCTGTGTGAAAGCTTCCTGGATTGCTCTTTGCAGCAGTTTTTCCCTGGAGAGGAAGCACCATCAGTAGTTAAAACTGGAAAAGCTAAAACATCATCCACAGACTTTTTTTTTTTTCTTTTAATCTTCTCAATGAGATTTTCAATTTAAAGATTCTGGAAAAACATCAAAGGCAGCTGGCTGTACAATAACGTTGTCATGCAGTAGGTCAGACACAAATGTAAAGTGTGCCAGTTGCTCTGAATGACCTCCTTAGATTGATGATATTAAGTGTTCTCAGGGTTTATGAGACAAGGAGGCTAGGGTAGGAGCTGACTGTACACCAAACTCTCCAGGAAAACCTTCCCCTCTGGGATGATGTACTTGATGCCAAATGCACAGTTCCCTGCATTGCAATGATGGAAGCTGAACATCATCACACACGTGTACTTGAACCTGACCCAGCCAAAGCACAGTCTCAGCTGACTATCTCACATTACAGATGTTCATGCTCACAGCAGATTTATTGGCTAGCCTGCTCTGGAAATATCTCTCTCTTCCCCTTCCTCTTTCTTCAGAGCTTCTCAGGAAAAACAGACACACACCCCTCCCACCCAACACGCACAGACATCCTGCTCACAATGTCTCCTGGATTTCTGACTTATATAGGATAAGAATCACATCTAGGATGCATCACAAGTGCTAGCCACAATTTATTCCTGGTCCACGGTTTCTTTCAGAATTCCTGAAAAATTGTCTCTCAGGGAAAGAAAATGGATCCTAAGCACTGTAAAAGGATCAGAGAAAATAGTAGCTGCAGCCTCTCATAACAAATTTCCCTGCTTTCCCCAAATAGAAGAGTTACCATACTTCTGTTTGCATACAGTTGCTTTATTACTAATTTAACTGCATTGAAGAATGAATTGTTTGAAGCATTTGAGATCCAACAGGTCTGCCCCATTTCTTGACATTGTCATGTCTCTTGAGTGATTGAACTTCTAAGCAACATTGGACTGTAGGTTTGCCATTTGGGAGAGCAGTTTGCTGCCAAACCAAGAAAAGCATAAGAAGATGGCAAATGGATTCTGTTAGGAGGTGGAATTGCAGGAGTGATCTGGTGTTTCATTAAAGATATCTCTCATGCTTCTCTCAACACTGAGGTTGCTCAGCCACCCTTGCCTTCCTCATGCTTTCAGCCCCTTGCCCTCTCACACTCACAGAGTTGGCTCTCTTGACTCACACATCTAAACCCTTTGGAGCATGGTCTGAGGAAGCAGAAAAGCTTCTGCTCACCCAACCAATGGTGAGGGCCCCGTGCAGGCCACTGGATGGCACTGGAGCATCCCATGAACCAGGAGAGTCTGAGGGGCTGGGTCCTGTTCAGCCTGGAGAAGACAAGGTGAGCTGTGATCTGAGGGGCTCAGCAAAAGGACAACTGGAAAGAGCCTTAAATGGAAACTGGGAAACTCAGACAGAACAAAAGGAATAAAAAACTCATGCCAAGGATTGTTCAGCACTGGCAAAAAGGCCAGAGATCCTAGGTAATCTCCACCCTTGCAGTTACTCAGAAATCACTTGAAGATGGCCATGAGCAACATGTTTTATTTGAGGGTAGCTCTGCTGTGATGAAGGCCATGGACTATGGAGGTCCCTTCTAGAATAAATTTTTCTGTCAGGAATTCTAAGGAAGATTTAAAAACCTTTGTCACTTTCTGCTTGATTTGCACCCTTTGTTCAATTTCATCGAAAAACTGTCACCATCAACTCATGTGTAAAGTAACTTGGGAATTACTTGTTGGATATTTATGAATTCCATTTCCCCAATGTCAGACTTCCCTAACCATTTCTCCACAGGCTCTCACCTGCTCTCTTGTCAAATGTAATCCCCTACACTGAAGGCTCAAACATCTTTTCTACCTTTACTTCATCTTCTTATTAGTCGAAAACTTCCAAGAATCTTTTGATAGATTTTAGGACATGACACTCCTTCAGTTGTTTAGATACTGTTTTTGATTTAAAAAAAACCCAAAGAACTATGCAATAGCAAATGCAAGGTTTCCGACACATTTTCATCCTTATCTCTCCTTGAGCCTTTCCGTGGCTGTTTTGTAGGATTGCACTCCTCTGGTGCAGGGGAAGCTGTGCCTATGACATTCCAAGCAGAGTGTATGGACTCCTTGAAGCATTTAGAATGGAAGGAACCTTGAGGGTTTTCTACTTCAAGCTGTTGCTCATGGCAGGACAGAGAATGGGGAGAATTTCCCATGCTGGTTATGAAGCCAGGGTGGAGATAGCAGTGTTGAACAGGAGGGTTTGTTACTGTGCAGCTCTGGAATATTTCCTGCAAGGGCATGAGGGAACAGGAAGCGTTGGGAGAGTGGCCACAGCTGTGCTGGTGGGTGAGAACAGGAGCAGAGAGGCTGCAGGAAGGCACAGGGAGCTGATAGAGGCAGCGAGTGTCGCCACAGGTAACACAGCTTTAGCTGGGCATGGCAGCCACAGACAGAGATGGAGGAAGGCTGAGACCCTGCTCATCCAGGTGAACTTGCACATGGCAAAACAGAGCATGGAATACCTTGTCATCCATCCTCCCTTATCAAGAAGGTTTAAAAACTCAAGATAGTTGTTTCCAATGGGATCAGCCAATCAGTCAGCTCAAAGTTAGGAGACCTTACTGGTTGATGATGTGATTTGGGCAGTGCAAGACTGTATCACCAGCATGATCCACCACTCTGATTGAGTGTATGAGGTACAATCAAACAGCTGATATTTAGGAACAGTCTGCATGGGAGAGTTTGGCCAGGATCACAGCAATTATCCATGTGCTCATCCAGATTTTAGCACTGGTTGAGTCAAGCCTGAACCCACTGTTACTGAAGATTGAAACCAGAAGGAGATAAATCCTTTCAGCAGACTTTCCATGAAAAGTGGCTCCACATGACTGCACAACACATTTCCTGAGCACATCTCTCCATGAAAGGGCAGTATTTATCTACACAAGTCAGTCCATAAAACAGAGCCAGTGCTGCTTGCAAGAGAGTCTTTATTGCACCAACCCAGAAGAGGTTACAGACAATGGCAGAAACCACAAGGCCTTGGTAAAGCAAATCACAAAGGAAGGGACACAAGCACAGGCACAGATCAAGCTCTCAGATTCCTTGCAGGTTCTGCATCTTCCCTCAGGGTCACAGGATCTGCAGTCTAAGAGCCACGGCCAGGGCGAAGAGGACGCAGGAAGGAAAGCATGTCATTGAAGCCAATTTCCTTGTAATTGGGGACATCTACATGTTCTCGGGCCAGGTATTGAATCCCACTTCCATTGCTGTTTTCACACAGCAGCCAGACACCTCTCTGCACTTTGTGAGAAGACACGATGTCGTTATCTTCTCCCCCAGCCAGATCAGTCGCTTCTCTTACTATTCTGCTTCTCCCTTGATAATTAACGTGTTCATAGAGAGTGATCTGGGGGTTGTGCAGGTCTTCTGTGATCAGCTGCAGAGAGCTGATCTTGTCATTCATCTCTTTACCAACATACTCATATTCTCCCTCCTCAAACACCAGAAACTGACCCTTATACTGGACATGCTCATAAGCCACCCAAGGCTGGCCAATTACTTTCACTGAGGAGACAATATCATTCCAACCCACGGCTGACAGGTTGGGAGTGTCAGTGGAGAATTCTCTGGACAATCCCTGGAAGTTGACATGCTCATAAATGATGATTTTTCCCATCTCAGTAGGACTTCTGCAGCTTGGATTCCTTGCTCTAGGAGCTGGAAGACAGCCTGCACAAAAGGAAGACAGCAAACAAGCAACACTTGTAAGAAGCCTGTGCACACCAGACACAAAATGATGGAGAGTGTGGAGGAAGAAAAAAGAAAGAAGGGAAGATCAACACATTTATAAGAGAGAATAAACCTAGCAGCATCTGGAAAGGAGTGAGGACATGACATGGAAATTTTCATTTGTAAGAGGATATAAATTGAGATATGTACCCACAACAACTTAGTTTTAACTGGATATATGTGTTGGTTTACAGATATCCCGCAGAGTAAGCTGTCAAATACTCTCACTTTCACCCCTCACAATGGTGCACCACTGGCCCCCTGCACCCTCTCCCTTGGCAAGGTTTGTTTGTCCTGCAGCAGCAGCCATCTCCTCCTCATGCCCTGCAAGATGGGTTCAGGCTCTGCACATGCACACAGCACACCCTCACGGCTCTGCTGCAGCTCTCAGCCCAACACTAAAGCCTCCTTCCCTTCCCCTGCATTTCCCTGCAGCTGCCCAAGAAACCCTTCCAGTTCTCTGTGCAGAGTGTGCCTCTTACCTTGATGGCAGCTGCAGGGCTGGGGAGAGCTGAGGGCAATTCCTCCAGTGCAGGGCTGCACTTTGGCAAGGGCATCTCACCTCCCTGCATTTATACTTGCACAGAAGTCTTGTGCAACACCCCAGGTGACAGAATGAAATGTGACCAAAACTCTCCAAAAGCCAGGTCAGTCACAGTAATTCAGACACACCAAAGTACATTGTGGTACAGGGGCTGTGGAAGTTTCCTGCTTGTCAGAATTTATGTTCTTGCTCTCCTGGGAAGCACTTAAAATGAACAAGGACTTTTTATGGGAGATGTCCAAGTTGCAGAGATATCATTAAAGTACCAGGTTTTGAAAAAAACACTTTATTTCTCTTTAGAATCATGGAATCATTAAGGTTGGAAAAGCCTCCAAGATCCAGTCCAACTTCAGATTATGTACCACCATGCTCAGTAAACCATATTGCAAATGTCACTTCTCCTTGTGTTTTGCAGACTTTCATGGATGATGACTCCAGCACTTGTATGGGTTGCCCATTCCAAAGCTTAATTACTCTTGCAGTGAAGATGTTTTTCTTAAGCACCGACCCGAACCTCTCCATACAGAAGCTGAGGGCACTTCCGCTTGTCCCATCATTGGCTGACTGCAGAACTGAGCAACCCACCTGGCTACATCCTCTTGTCTTGGCATTGTAGAGAATGATAAGGGCCCCCCTGAGCCTCCTTTTCTCCAGGATAAACACCCCCAGCTCTCTCAGCTGTTTCTCAGCAGACCTGTGCTCCAGACCCTTCACCAGCCTTGTTGCCCTTCTCTGGCCTCACTCCCACACCTCAATGTCTTTCTTGCACTGAGGGGCCCAAAATGAACACAGGATTCCAGGTATGGCCTCACCAGTGCCCAGTACAGGGGGAAGATCACTGCTCTGGTCTGTGGGAAATGCAGGCACAGAAAACTCTCAAGGTCTTGAGTGTACAAGCTCAGAGATAGAGATGGATACAAAGTTTGACCTGAGTCTTCAGAGGAGGCTTAGAAGCTTTAGAACAATAAAGTTACACAGACATGATGTAAGACTAGAAGTTTGTAATTTAAGCAGAAATAAGTTTTAAACAAGTAGAAATATGCTTCATGTAAGCAAATAAATATCTTAAGCAAGATGTAGCAATGTAAGTTTCTGTAGTGTTATAGGTGTGGATGAGAAAAGATGCATTGCGGTAGAATTGTGTAAAACAAAGCAATTAATGATTGGATTATGAAGATGCTAGTGAGCTTTATGTAAGTTGTTGATTGGCTAAGAAATTTATAAAAGACGTTGTAATTTGAATTAAGACAGCTTCTGATGTGATGGCATTGAATGTAACACTTTAAATGTCTCCCCCTTCCATGAGACTGATTATGCAATAAAACACCTTTTATAACATCTCTCAGCTGACCCCGCCTGCTCTGATCCCAGCATTGCTCCTGCTGGCCACACCATTGCTGACACAGGCCAGATTCCATTGGCCTTTTTGGCTACCCGGGAGCACTGATGGCTCATGTTCAGCCCTCTGAAGGTGGGGATGCTCCATCTCTCAAAGGGTTCTTTAGGGTTTCTTGCAGCCCAAACCATTCTCTGATTCTGTGACATATGTGATCACATATATATTTATCTATAGTAATAGATGCACATGGTACTATCATAGATGATAATCAAAAGCACCAATATTGTTGTCTCAAAACCAGACAGAAGATCACAGTGGAGAACCCAGAAACTGGGGGTGAATAGGGACCGACTGGTATGGTGTAACACCAGCTTCAAAGTCAGAATTTTAAAGCAGAAGCATGGCAAATGAGCAACATAGATCCTTGCAGATATTTATTTTGTACTAAATACTGAATATTGTAGATGGTGCTTTATACTGTCAGTTTTGCAATTAAACACTTGTATCTGTTGAGAGAAGGTGTTTCATACTTGTCAAGCCACAATCTTCTTGTGCTAAATATGACTCCAATCATTTCCCCAGTTCAGGCTGAAGTAAATGCTTCAGATAGTATTTCTTTTTAATATTTTTCATGCATCAACTGTTTCTATTTCTGTCTACGGAACAAGAAAGCAGAGATTGTCCTGCCCCAGCTTATTTTTGCTTTTGAAATCTTTGATCCAGAATCTTGGTTCTCCTCACTTCCTGATCCTCCTTTCTTTTCTTCACTACATGGGCACAAATCATGCCCTACCTCAAGTTATTTTCCCTGACACCAGACTTTGCTCTTGACCAAAGAGCTCTTTGCAGTGCACCAAAAGATATCATGGTCACAGGATCTGAACTAATACACAGAGGTCAGCAAATAATACAGACGGATTATTTATATATACAGAGGTATAGCAAATAATTTCTTCTGTGATCACACAAGTTACAACACCTTTGAGAACTCTGCCTCTGTGATTCCTGGGATCTGAGACTATGGAACACCCAGGACGGCCATTTTCAGTGGTGCTTCCCCAGAAAACTGCTGGACTTGGTGAACAAGGAGCACTGAAGGAAACATTTTTTTGGAATGTGGAGAGTGTCTTGATCACATGCTTTGAGTGCTCCTGGGATTCTGCAGAGTTGTAGAACACAGCATCCCGTAAGCTCTGCTGCAATAAGAACTGTGGTAGGGGTGCTCTTCTTCATTCACCAGCTCTACACATGTCCTGTCCTGCTAAGACCTATCTTGCTCTTTGTGTCTGCAGCCTTCCAGCACTTGGAAATTTTAAAGTCTGGGAAGACGAGTTTGTAAGGTATGTGAAATACGACAGCATCTGCTCTATGAAGTTTATCTAACAAAGAACTTTTTGATTCCAAAAAATAAAAATTAATCATAATCATAATCATAATCATAATCATAATTGTGTGATTTGCCAGCAAAGTTTGAGCTGGAGCAGCCAGCAAGTGGGGCATGGACCTAGACTGGGATTTCAGACAGGCAGGTGACTCGTGCTGGGAGTCAAGGCACCCACAGAACACCAGTGAGAACAGTGTGTGGTGTGTGTGTGGGCTGGCTGCAAGCACCAAGCTGCACTAGCCAGGGGTAGGAGACACCCAAGTGTCCTCTGCTCACAGAGCCCAGAGCCAGGCATGAGACTGGACAGGCTGGGGGCTCTCTGCCCTGTTGGAAGCGCCTGTGAAGGTGCTTGTGGCTGTGGAGAGTGAGGTGTGCAGATCTTCACTGGAGGGCTCCACGTGGATAATGTGGAGATGAGGAAGGAGATGGGGCTGTCTCCATTCCATTCTGTGGGAGAGCTGGCAGGGTGGGTGTGGGGTGTCTGGGGACAGCCCCTGGGTCATTTGGCCGTGTCCGTGTCCTTCCCGAGCAACAGGGGGTGCCTGTCCCTGGGTCACACAGTCCAGCCCAGCACAGGTGCCCCTGCAAGCTGGGCAGCAGCGGTGTGAAAGGCAGCCCCCGACAGAGACCCTGCCCCTGGGCTCAGCAGCTGAGCAGGAGGAGCTCCTGGGGCTGAACTCCGCTCATCCTCAGCTATCCCGACACACAGCACTGGAAAAGTGACTTGGCCAGAAAGAAACCCTGCAACTGGAGCTTTTCCACACAAAAACCAAACACCCTGGTGTAACTTTACTCTTCTTTCCTTTTACTTTCAGTCCTTATCAGCTCTTTGTAGGAACTACCATGGGCTTTCTCAGAAAAGCATCTTGTGTGTTGCAATCCTGCAGATCCACAGATGTTCTCTCAGTTCTCTTTTTCTTCCACTTGTAGTTGGATGGGATTCTACTTCTACTCTCTTGAAAGCAGGAGAGACACATCCTGAAAAATTCCCTTCCAAAAAACCCCAAATTCACCAAGAAAATCCCAAACACTCAACTAAGGAGAGACAAATTGCAGGGACACATTAATTGCTGAGCACAAGGACAATGCAGAGGAGCTCATTAGACCCCCTGAGTCAATGTCAGTGCACAGAAACCCCCAGCAGGACAGCATCAGTCTGACAAGGCTGAGTCAAGGGGATGGACAAGGGAGGGGCGTTCATTGTCTTTATTTATAGAAGGATTCCTGAGGAGCAATATGGCTCAGGAAATACTGGGATTTGCCAGTCTTGGTCCTTCCATGATGAGCTGGAATGATCCAGCAAGCCAGGAGGATTGTAGGATTGGTGGATAATTGAAACTGGAAGTGACCTCTGGTTGCCATTGTGTCCAGTCAGCTGCCTATCACAGGGACAGCTGTGAGGTGAATTAAGTTTGCTGGTGGCTTTATCCTGTCAGGTCTTCAAAAGCCCTGAGTACAGAAACCACCCAACTTCCCTGAGGGGTGTGATTTAAAATTTTATGACATCATCATGAAAATTTTTGTCAGCTATGGAGGAAACTAGAGTGAGGGTTCTCAGAGGGGCTCAGCAAAAGGACACCTGGAAAAAGTCTTATCTGGAAACAGGGAAGCCCTGACTGAAATCCATAGTCCTAAGAGTTTTCATGCCTTGGAAGAAAGGCCAGAGATCCTAGGTAATCTCCACCATTGCAATTGTTCAGAAATCACTTGAAGATGGCCATGAGTAACATGTTTTCATTTGGAGGTAGCTCTGTTTTGAATAAGAGTTTGGACTAGGGAGGTGCGTTCGAATAAATATTTCTGTCAATAATTCTAAGGAAGATTTAATAGCCTTTGGCACTTCCTGGCTTATTGCACCCATTGTTCAATTTCATTGAAAAACTGTCATCATCAAGTCATGTGTACAACAACCTTGAGTTTACTTGTTGGACATTTATGAACTCTACCTTCCCAATGTCAGACTTCCCTCCTCATTCCTCCGCAGGCTCTCACCTGCTCTCTTGTCAAATGTAATTCCCCCTATTGAAAGCTCTAAGTCCTACTCCACCTTCATTTTATTCTCTTATTGCTGAAAAACTTTCAAGAATCCCTTGATAGATTTCTGGACATGACACTTCCGCATTTGTTTGGATATTGTCTTTGGTTAAATGCGCCCCAAAAGAAAACTAGGCAAGAGCAAATGCAAATTTCCGTAAACATTCGCACCCATATCCCTAGCTGAGCTGTTACTTTGTTTTTTTATAGGATTGCACTCCTCTCTGGTGCATGTTCCCATGACAGGCCAAGGAGTGTATATGGACTCCTAAGAGTAAATCATATGGAAGGAACCTTGAGAGGTCTCTACTTCAAGCTGCTGCTCTCAGCAGGATGGAGAATGGTGAGATATTGTCTCATGCTGGTTGTGAATCCAGGGGAGGGAAGTAGAAGTGGTATTTGCAATATGGATTAAAGGGCATGGTGTCATTTGGGCAGAGGTTGGACAGGATAGTGTTGGAGGCCTTTTCCAGGTTTAGTGATTCCATGTTTCTAAAGCAAAAAAAGTTGGTTTTTTTTTCAAAAACTGGTACTTCAATGCCATCTCTGTGACCTAAATATCCTGCTTGAGATATCTCCCATAAAAAGTCCTTGTTCATTTTAAGTGCTTCCCAGGAGAGCAAGAACATAAATTCTGACAAGCAGGAAACTTCCACAGCCCCTGTACCACAATGTACTTTGGTGTGTCTGAATTACTGTGACTGACCTGGCTTTTGGAGAGTTTTGGTCACATTTCATTCTGTCACCTGGGGTGTTGCACAAGACTTCTGTGCAAGTATAAATGCAGGGAGGTGAGATGCCCTTGCCAAAGCGCAGCCCTGCACTGGAGGAATTGCCCTCAGCTCTCCCCAGCCCTGCAGCTGCCATCAAGGTAAGAGGCACACTCTGCACAGAGAACTGGAAGGGTTTCTTGGGCAGCTGCAGGGAAATGCAGGGGAAGGGAAGGAGGCTTTAGTGTTGGGCTGAGAGCTGCAGCAGAGCCGTGAGGGTGTGCTGTGTGCATGTGCAGAGCCTGAACCCATCTTGCAGGGCATGAGGAGGAGATGGCTGCTGCTGCAGGACAAACAAACCTTGCCAAGGGAGAGGGTGCAGGGGGCCAGTGGTGCACCATTGTGAGGGGTGAAAGTGAGAGTATTTGACCGCTTACTCTGCGGGATATCTGTAAACCAACACATATATCCAGTTAAACCTAAGTTGTTATGGGTACATATCTCAATTTATATCCTCTTATACATGAAAATTTCCATGACATGTCCTCACTCCTTTCCAGATGCTGCTAGGTTTATTCTCTCTTATAAATGTGTTGATCTTCCCTTCTTTCTTTTTTCTTCCTCCACACTCTCCATCATTTTGTGTCTGGTGTGCACAGGCTTCTTACAAATGTTGCTTGTTTGCTGTCTTCCTTTTGTGCAGGCTGTCTTCCAGCTCCTAGAGCAAGGAATCCAAACTGCAGAAGTCCTACTGAGATGGGAAAAATCATCATTTATGAGCATGTCAACTTCCAGGGATTGTCCAGAGAATTCTCCACTGACACTCCCAACCTGTCAGCCGTGGGTTGGAATGATATTGTCTCCTCAGTGAAAGTAATTGGCCAGCCTTGGGTGGCTTATGAGCATGTCCAGTATAAGGGTCAGTTTCTGGTGTTTGAGGAGGGAGAATATGAGTATGTTGGTAAAGAGATGAATGACAAGATCAGCTCTCTGCAGCTGATCACAGAAGACCTGCACAACCCCCAGATCACTCTCTATGAACACGTTAATTATCAAGGGAGAAGCAGAATAGTAAGAGAAGCGACTGATCTGGCTGGGGGAGAAGATAACGACATCGTGTCTTCTCACAAAGTGCAGAGAGGTGTCTGGCTGCTGTGTGAAAACAGCAATGGAAGTGGGATTCAATACCTGGCCCGAGAACATGTAGATGTCCCCAATTACAAGGAAATTGGCTTCAATGACATGCTTTCCTTCCTGCGTCCTCTTCGCCCTGGCCGTGGCTCTGAGACTGCAGATCCTGTGACCCTGAGGGAAGATGCACAATCTGCAAGGAATCTGAGAGCTTGATCCCTGCCTGTGCTTGTGTCCCTTCCTTTGTGATTTGCTTTACCAAGGCCTTGTGATTTCTGCCATTGTCCATAACCTCTTCTGGGTTGGTGCAATAAAGACTCTCTTGCAAGCAGCACTGGCTCTGTTTTATGGACTGACTTGTGTAGATAAATATTGTCCTTTCATGGAGAGATGTCTCCGTGTGCTCAGAAAATGCAAGGTATTCCATGCTCTGTTTTGCCATGTGCAAGTTCACCTGGATGAGCAGGGTCTCCTCCATCACTGCCTAATGACAGCTGCACGCCCTGAGCTGTGGTTTGTGACAGCTGTCCCATGGCAGGTTTGTGACAGCTGTCCCATGGCAGCTCTGCGCTGCAGTGTTTATCTCCCTCTGTGCTGACCTCCTGTTTGCCCTGATTTCCTTGCACTGCTCGCTGGGTAGGTCAGACAGGAGCTGCACTTGGCCTTTTTGAAGCTCATGGGGTGCCCATGGAGCTGCAGCAGCCCAGGCCCCTCTGCACGGTGCCTTCCCTCAGCTCATCAAACACAGCCCCCAGCTCCCAGTCACCTGCAGCCCTGCCCAGGGTGCCCTGGATCCCACTGCCTGTGCCCCTGAGGGAGATGGAGCACGGCTGGTGCCAGTGGGGACCCTTGAGGGACACCAGTTGTTACTGCTTTCCACCCATCCTGACAAGGCCCTTCACGGCTGTGTGGCTGACAATTCCCCATGCCAAACTACTTCCCGCATTTTTCACTTCTGTGCTGGCATTTGGAGGCACACGGAGGACAGGGGGGTGACTGGGGACAGCCAGCACAGCTTCAGCCAAGGCCTGACCTCCTGATGTGCAGGATCAGATCAGGCTGGGGGATGAGTGGACTGGGAGCAGCCCTGCTGAGAAGGAACTGGGGACGCTGCTGCGTGAAAAACTGGACATGACCCGGCACTGTCAGCTGGCAGCCTGGAAAGCCAAGTGTATCCTGGGCTGCCAAAAGTGTAGTCAGCAGGTCAAGGGAGGGGCTTCCTCCCCTGTGATCCACCATGGTGAGATCCCACCTGGAGTATTGCATGCAGCTCTGCAGGTTTTTACTGGGGCCTTTGAAACCTGGAGAGGGGAGATTTCAATTCTACATTGGGCAGCGTATTTTTGGGATGAGGGTGATGAGTCACTGGCACAGCTTGCCCAGAGAAGCAGTGCATGCTCCATCCCTCCAAGGCCGGGTTGGATGGGCCTTTGAACAACCTGGTCTAGTGCAAGGGCTCCCTGCTCATGGCAGGGGTTTGCAACAAGGTGGTGTTTGAAACCTCTCCCAGCCAAAATCATTCTGTGATTTTGTGATTCTAGGATGTGCAAATTCAACAATACTGTGAACCTTGTCATGGTTTCAGGTCCCAGTCTCTTAGTTTCATATTCTTCTTTCTACATCTACAGTACCTCTTTTGCAACACTTCTAAATTTTGAATATCAGCACAGTGAGTCTATATAGCTCCAAGTACCAGCAAAATCCTGTGTTTTCCAAGGGTGACGGAGGTAGTCAGGTAGCTCATTTTCCATATCTGTAGGCATGAAACACATGGCTTAGGGAATCCTGTTCCTATCAAAGGAAGAAAAGAGTACTCCAGGATGGAAGGGAAAGAAGGTAACGTGCAATGGTTAGTTCCAAATGCCTCTGTCTGTCTTACAGCCTATTTCTCCTGGAGAGGCAGTAGCTCAGCCACCTGATTTTCCTTCCTCTTCTGCAGTTACACCCCATCAGCTGAGGACAGAGCTCTCTGTGTGTCGGTGTGTCAGTCTGTGGCTGCCATGCCCAGCTAAAGCTGTGTTACCTGTGGTGACACTCGCTGCCTCTACCCTCTGCCTTCCTGCAGCCTCTCTGCTCCTGTTCTCACCCACCAACACAGCTGTGGCCACTCTCCCAACACTTCCTGTTCCCTCAGCCCCTTGCAGGAAATATTCCAGAGCTGCACAGTAACAAACCCTCCTGTTCAACACTGCTATCTCCACCCTGGCTTCATAACCAGCATGGGAAATTCTCCCCATTCTCTGTCCTGCCATGAGCAACAGCTTGAAGTAGAAAACCCTCAAGGTTCCTTCCATTCTAAATGCTTCAAGGAGTCCATACACTCTGCTTGGAATGCCATAGGCACAGCTTCCCCTGCACCAGAGGAGTGCAATCCTACAAAACAGCCAAGGAAAGGCTCAAGGAGGCATGTGGATGGGAAAGTATCAGAAACTTTAATTTGCTATTGCATAGGTTTCTTTTGGTTCCCTTTTAATAAAATACATAATCTAAATAATGCAAAAGTGTCAGGTCCAAAACTCTATCAAAGGATTCTTGGAAGTTTTTCAGTAATAGGAAGACGAAGTAAAGGTAGAGATGGATTTTGATCCTTCAATGTAGGGGATTACATTTGACAAGAGAGCAGGTAAGAGCTGCTGCTGAATTGGGTGGGAAGTCTGACGTTGAGGAAATGGAATTTATAAATATCCAACAAGTAATCCCCAAGTTATTGTACACATGACTTGATGATGACACATTTTCATTGAAATTGAACAGTGGATGCAATTAGCCAGAAAGTGACAAAGGTTTTTAAATCTTCCTTAGAATTACTGACAGAAAGATTTATTCTCAAAGGGACCTCCATAGTCCATGGCCTTCATCACAGCAGAGCTACCCTCAAATAAAACATGTTGCTCATGGCCATCTTCAAGTGATTTCTGAATAACTGCAAGGGTGGAAATTACCTAGGATCTCTGGCCTTTCTGCCAGTGCTGAACAATCCTTGGCATGAGTTTTTTATTCCTTTTGTTCTGTCTGAGTTTCCCAGTTTCCATTTAAGGCTCTTTCCACTTGTCCTTTTGCTGAGCCCCGCAGATCACAGCTCACCTTGTCTTCTCCAGGCTGAACAGGACCCAGCCCCTCAGACTCTCCTGGTTCATGGGATGCTCCAGTGCCATCCAGTGGCCTGCACGGGGCCCTCACCACTGGTTGGGTGAGCAGAAGCTTTTCTGCTTCCTCAGACCATGCTCCAAAGGGTTTAGATGTGTGAGTCAAGAGAGCCAACTCTGTGAGTGTGAGAGGGCAAGGGGCTGAAAGCATTAGGAAGGCAAGGGTGGCTGAGCAACCTCAGTGTTGAGAGAGGCATGAGAGATATCTTTAATGAAACACCAGATCACTCCTGCAATTCCACCTCCTAACAGAATCCATTTGCAATCTTCTTATGCTTTTCTTGGTTTGGCAGCAAACTGCTCTCCCAAATGGCAAACCTACAGTCCAATTTTGCTTAGAAGTTCAATCACTGATGAGACATGACAATGTCAAGAAATGGGGCAGACCTGTTGGATCTCAAATGCTTCAAACAATTCATTCTTCAGTGCAGTCAAATTAGTAATAAAGCAACTGTATGCAAACAGAAATATGGTAGCTCTTCTATTTGGGGAAAGCAGGGAAATTTGTTATGAGAGGCTGCAGCTACTATTTTCTCTGATCCTTTTACAGTGCTTAGGATCCAGCTACTATTTTCTCTGATCCTTTTACAGTGCTTAGGATCCATTTTCTTTCCCTGAAAGACAATTTTTCAGGAATTCTGAAAGAAGCCATGGACCAGGAATAAATTGTGGCTAGCACTTGTGATGCATCCTAGATGTGATTCTTACCCTAAATAAGTCAGAAATCCAGAAGACATTGTGAGCAGGATGCCTGTGTGTGTTGGGTGGGAGGGGTGTGTGTCTGTTTTTCTTGAGAAGCTCTGAAGAAAGAGGAAGAGGAAGAGAGAGATATTTCCAGAACAGGCTAGCCAATAAATTTGCTGTGAGCATGAACATCTGTAATGTGAGATAGTCAGCTGAGACCCTTTATTTAGAGCAAGATTCCTCATTAACAATATAGCTCAGATAATACTAGGATTTGCCAGTCTTGATCCTTAAGACATGATCTTGAATGATGCTGTGAGCCAGGAGAATTGTGGAATCATAAAATAATTCTGGTTGAAAGTGACCTTTGGATGCCTTCAGGTCCAGTCTGTTGCACAATAAGGCCATACACCCTGGGGAATTTCCACCCTTGCAGTTGTTCAGAAGTCTCTTGAAGATGGCCATGAGTAGCCCAGTCTTGTGTGGAAGTAGCTCTGCTGAGAAGAAGGTCTTGGGCTAGGGAGGTCTCTTCCAGAATGAATTTTTTCTGTCAGTAATTCTAAGGTAGATTTAAAAGCCTTTGTCACTTTTTGCGTGACTTCATTCTTTATTCAATTTCAATGAAAATGTGTCATCATCAAGTCATGTGTACAATAACTTGGGGATTACTTGTTGGATATTTATAAATTCCATTTCCCCAACGTCAGACTTCCCACCCAATTCAGCAGCAGCTCTTACCTGCTTTCTTGTCAAATGTAATCCCCTACATTGAAGGATCAAAATCCATCTCTACCTTTACTTCGTCTTCCTATTACTGAAAAACTTCCAAGAATCCTTTGATAGAGTTTTGGACCTGACACTTTTGCAAAAAAAAAAAAAAAAAAGTTTTGCACTAGCAAGTGCAAAGTTCCTGAAACCACCCCATCCACATGCCTCCTTGAGCCTTTCCTTGGCTGTTTTGTAGGACTGCACTCCTCTGGTGCAGGGGAAGCTGTGCCTATGGCATTCCAAGCAGAGTGTATGGACTCCTTGAAGCATTTAGAATGGAAGGAACCTTGAGGGTTTTCTACTTCAAGCTGTTGCTGATGGCAGGACAGAGAATGGGGAGAATTTCCCATGCTGGTTATGAAGCCAGGGTGGAGATAGCAGTGTTGAACAGGAGAGTTTGTTACTGTGCAGCTCTGGAATATTTCCTGCAAGGGCATGAGGGAACAGGAAGCGTTGGGAGAGTGGCCACAGCTGTGCTGGTGGGTGAGAGCAGGAGCAGAGTGGCTGCAGGAAGGCACAGGGAGCTGATAAAGGCAGCAAGTGTCACCACAGGTAACACAGCTTTAGCTGGCAGAGGGGACTGGGCAAGCTGCAGCACCCTGGGCACCCCATGAGCTTCAGAAAGGCCAAGTGCAGCTCCTGTCTGACCTGCCCAGCGAGCAGTGCAAGGAAATCAGGGCAAACAGGAGGTCAGCACCGAGGGAGATAAACACT